TGTTGGATCAGGCCTTGCTTTTGTTGTTGTACTACATTCAATACTCTGCTTGGACACTACTCGTGAATGTGCGGAGTATTTGATGGGAAAATGTAGACAAATCGTTATTCTCTATCTAACATCTTAAACTTTTCAAAGAATATAGATCATAATCTACATGGATGGAAGGGGATGCATCAAAAATAAAATTTGCACTGCATATAGTAAAATTCAGGTAGCATTCATTAATTAAAACGTTTAAAAGAGAAAAAATGATCATTCGAATAAACACGTATATAAGAATAATCATTTTGTTTTTCATTTGTTATTTAATTTTGAACTACATTACAATTTATTACTAAACATAAAACAAAATTGAAAAATTTATTACTAAACAAAAAAAAAATGGTTCTTAATCTGCCTGGATGGAAGGAAATGCATCAATCGTGAACAAAAAATAAAATTTGAACTACATATAATAAGATTCAAATCGCATTCATTAAAACGTTTAAAAAAAAAAATGATCATTCGAGTAAACACGTACATAAGAACAATCATTTTCTTTTTTATTTTTATTTAATTTGTAATGTGCTCTAGTTTCATTTTCTCTAGAATCAAACTCCAAGTAGCAAGTGTAGTTTTGAAATTACGCTATAGATGACCTCTCATTTGTTCTTGTGCTCCGATTTTCTGAAGTTTGAACTAAAATCGTGTGTCACCTTTTGTGCTCAAATAAAACTCGGGAGCTCAAATATTGAAATTCTTCTTTCTAAAATAAGAACATAAAAATACTCAAGTAAAATTGAGGGAGGGAGAGATGGGGGAAGGATGCTGCCATTGAAGCTGGTTCGCTCACTGGTTCTTTCTGATACCAACCCTCTTCTTCTTCCCCAAAATCAGGTTTTCTTTAATCACAATAATCACCATGAAGATGTTGATGATACTAATTTCAATAGCAGTAATATCCCCAAATCAAGAACCAAAATCCCACTAATGCTTTTCAATCCCACCCAAGAATTGGTAAAAGACACATACAGATTAGCCAAACTTGCCAGAGAAATTGGCATGGATCTTCACCCAAACCCATCTCTCTCACACATCATCTTCTCATGGCCATCGTGTTCATGGTCATTGGGAAACGACGCCGCTCCATTGCCATTCCCATCTCTGACCACAGCGTCCATGTCCCACTTGCGCCTCTTTGTCAATCTGTCCAGAGGCTTCTTCAAGCTGGTTTTCTTGAAAAATAATCACAGCCCACTTGAAAAAATCGAGTCTTTGAACAATAACAACTGGGATTGCACCTCAAGTTGTTTGTTTTCAAGAATCGCTGGCGAGAGAATACACTCAATGGATGGGTTTTCTAAGGCTCTGCTTGGAATGGGATGGACCCTTTTCAAGACTAATACTAATAACCAATCTTTTAAAGATTCTGTTGATAGGCTGGTGTACTTGTATAGAAAGTTGGGTACCAATAAAATGTGTAACACTATAGATCTTCCCAATGGAAATGGAAATGTTGGAAAGTGTTGTAGGGTTAGGGAATTAAGGTTGCCTCCATTGGATTTCAGGAGCCTGCCTTTGAGGATTTTGCAGTACATTCTTCTGATGGCTGGTGATGTTTTTTATCTTGCCTAGACTAATCAGGTCAGTTTTTCATAATTTTTGTTCTTCAGTTTCGTTTCTTTTTTATGTTTATGGTGCTAATTGTTATTGCTGGCGAGAGAATACACTCAATGGATGGGTTTTCTAAGGCTCTGCTTGGAATGGGATGGACCCTTTTCAAGACTAATACTAATAACCAATAGGCCGGTGTACTTGTATAGAAA